GCAAGTGTCCTTTCCTTCTCCCCCTTTTCATAATAAACCTGCTCTTTTGGATACAACTAACGTCTCCGTCTCGTGGAGAAGCTCACCTGGGAAACTTGCTCCGTGCCGCTGAACGGGGAGCTTTGGGGAAGCTTTTCCCAGAGTGAACCCAAGGACCCCGCCCTCCGAACCCAACACATCTCCAAAAAAAAAAAAAAAGACTTCAGTGACAGAAATCACAGTGACCAAGTGTTTCCTGCCAGGCACACTGCCCTCGGAGCTCTGCATGTACCCCTAGCCCTAGCCCTAGCCCTGTCAGCCACTGTTACTCTCATTTTCAGATGAGGAAACAGAGGCTAAGGGTCATGCCCTGGCCCAGGAGTCAAACCAGGCAGTTGGCTCCAAAGCCCACTCTTTGCCCTGCTCCACCCCAGGGCTTCGGGCTCTGAGCTCCCTCCATATCCAGCCAAGGGGCCAAGTCTGCTCCTGCCCCTGCCCCAGGCCCACTCATCTCCTCAGACACGCCCCGTGGGGGTGGATGCCCTGCCCACAGCCCTCGCTCTCTGGGCCTGGGCCCACCCTCCAGTCTCCTTAACTGCCCATCCCAAAAGGCTCAGCTCAGACAGTCCCGGGCGCCCCCTCCCAGCCTCAGCCTTCACCTCACCTTCCTCTCCCAGCCCTGGGCAGCCTCCACTGCGTTCTGACATTGTGTGATGCTATTTCTCCTTCTCCCTAGTGGTTCTTGACCAGAGTTTGCCCCCAGAGGGCCCCAGCACAGTCTGGAGACCATCTGGTTGTCACCACTATGGGTGCTACTGGGTATGGAATGGGTGCAAGCCTGGCAGGCCACAAGCCGTCCTGCAGTGCACAGGATGGGCCGACCATAGAGCGTCATGGTCCACGAGGACCATGGACACTCTTGGTGAGCACAGCAGGCCAAAGGCTTTGCTAATACATGTGAGGTCAGGAGGTGCTCGGAGACTGGCTGGGGAAGCTGGGGTGAGCAGCCCTGGCCGTGGGGTGTCTCCAGAGTCTCTTGAGCAGAGGTGAGTGAATAACCTGGGTCTACCCTACTCAATCGGCAGTTCAACAGGGGATGGAAATCCTGTGGGATCAGGGCCCCTGGCCCACTCTTTGGAAATGCTGCTCTGCGTGTGGCAGCCGGTGGGTCAGCCCAGGGACGCTAAGAAAGAAAGAACAGAGAAGGGACCCCACAGTGGCTGCTGAGGCCCCGGGGGGCAGGAGGGCACCGTCTTGGGCTGGGCCCCTCTTAGGCCAGCCCTGTACCCATGGGTATGACACTGAGTGTGTGGACTTGTGCTGTGCAGGAGTGAGCGACAGCGGAAGCCGGCCCCTGGACGAGGCATCGGCATATGGAGGAGACGATTATCTCACAAGGTTAAATAGCCACAGCGGGAGATGCAAGGACGAGCCTCAGTCACCCACTGAAGAGCCACATGGCGGAGGAGGGAGCCGTGGCCCAGTCTGGCAGAGAAAGGGGTAGTGCACGCCACAAGCAGGGGTGTAACACAGTTGGGGAGGCTGCAGAGGAAAGGGTGCTCAGCCCGGAGAGGCATCGGAGCAAGGGCTGTGGCTCCCCGCGGAGTGCTCTGGACCTGAGGCCACGACAGGCATTAGGCCAGGGAGCACATGATCGGACACTTGTGTACATAACTTCGATTCTTCCTGCAACCTGAGGCATAAACAGGTACACCACCGCCAGAAGGGTCACTCCAGCTCCCATGTGAAGGAGCCAGCCAAAGGCGAGAGCTTGGAGACGGAGCTGGGTTAGGGAATCTCACTTGCGCCAGGACAGAGCGAGGAGAGGCTAAGAAAACACAAAGCCACAGAGATGGGGGCAGGGAGGGAGGAAACCAATGACTGCTGAGCACAGGGCCTCAACAAGCCCCCTGGGGGGCTCCCAGTGCTGGGATGAGTCTTTCACAGAGTCCAAGTACAGGAGTTGAGACCATCTGTTTGGAGGGAAAGACGGCCTAGGTGTGGCCCCAGAGAAGGTGGTGCGTCTGTAAGATACTCATGGGGGAAGGCCCAGCCCTCAGGTGTGGAGCTCAGGGGAAGGCCTGGGCGGAAGGCACAGCGCCCTCTGCCAACTGCAGCTCTGCCAGCCGGCTGAGGCCTAAGATGTCAAGGCTCGCATCACCAGGGTCAGTCAGGCAGGTGACAGGCGTTGGTGCATGGTGTCCTGGGAGAGGGGCCTGGTGAGCAACTCCCCCGCCTTCCCAGGGCATTGGGCCCAGAAAGGCTCTGGGAAGGCAGTGGAAATGAGGGTAAAGGGAAGGCCCCTTGCCAAGACTTAAGAAAGCCACATCAGGGCGAAAGCAAGGGTTGAAAACGTGGAACTTGGAGCCAGAGCCATAGTCCTCACATGAGGAAGCTTCTAGAAGAATCCTCCCCAGCAGGAAGACACACCACAGCAACGCTTCCTGAACAATTGCCCGTGGCTATCCTGAACAAGGCCTTGACTACCAACCAATCCCTCTCCCCCCAGGTTTTTACTGCTCACAAGAAGGCTGACTGCAAGTCTTGGGCCTTTAGCATATTTAATGCCGCCACCCCGGAAGCATCTGGACTTGTATCTCCAAGGCCGCCACTTGGAGTCGATGACGAAAGGAGGCTCAGTCCCCAAATCTGGATGCATCTAAAAGGAAACCTCCCAGTCCGGTGACTCCACACACTCCTCTTCGCCCCATTATCCCATCCTTTCTATAAAGATCTGCGAGAGGAGCGCCCCACCCCACCTTTTTAGCATGTGACCGTCATTTACCACCCAGTCTCTTAAGGCATGTATTTAAATGGGTGCCATGCCAACCTGGAAAATATCCAGAGAATGACGGGGTCAGCTAGGGAACATCAGGGCACTGAAACGTGGCTATGGAGTGGGGGTTGTCTCCTGGGGGGTCCTCCTGCCCCTGCACTTCCTAGCTTGCAAATGTAGCGCCCTTGTCTTAGCTGCAGGAAACTGCTATAAGTTCCCTCTCTGTCCTCACAAGAGCACCAAGCAGCTGCTCACACATCCCTCCCTCACAGGCTGCTGGGAATTTCGGAACCAAACTGGGCTTCCCTCTCCAAGTGAACACTGAGCCCCGGCTGACTTTTATTTCTCCTCCTCTCATTTCCTTTAGCCACAAGCTTTCCCTCCCCGCCCCAGTGTCACTGGGGTGATGCCGACACGCAGCACTGGGGGAGCACCACACAGCCAGGCGGGTAACACACCCATACCACACGGAGCCGTCTTTCTTATGTGTGGTGAGAACCTTCGGGATGGACTCTCAGCAGCCTGAGCACACAGCATGGTTGCCGACAACAGTCAGAAGCTGTGCCTGCACCCCTGAGCCTGTCCTTCTCACAAATGGAGGCCTGCACCCCTCGCCCTGGCCCCACGATCACCATCTACTTCCTGCTCCTCCGTGATCTAACCAGTTTCTTTCTTTTTAGTTTTTATTTTTCCATTTCTCAGGTGTGTGTTTTCTCATATTGTAATCATGAGGTTATTCAAATCTATTTGAGAATGAGGGAGGGTATACTTTTTTTTAATACTGAAAAGGCCCCTGTGAAGCCCCTAACATGAAGACGCAACCTTAAGTAAGCCGTGCTGTGGTCCCGCAAGCCTCAGGGTCACCTGGCCCCCATACCCTGTCAGATGCACCTGTCACCTGCTCAGCCTTTGGACCGGGTAGCGGGCTGATATGGCATCAGGGGCATGGGTTTGGCAAGTGTGAAAACTCCCTCGGGAGATACTGGTGTCCTTATGCCCCTGGTGGCAAACCCCAACTCCACACCATGTCCCCCATGTTCCAAGAAGGACACATCATCACCTGCGTCACCCTGTGGTGCGCGATGCAGACCTGAAGCTAATCACAAGGAAACGTCAAGCATGAGGGCAGCTTTTAGTGACTCTTTCAGCTGTTAGCTGCTCTATTTTTAAAGGGGAGGGTGGACTATATTCTCCTCAGGCCCATGTCTTGAAAGGCAAAGAAAGACTGACACGTGTTTAAGATTCAAGGAGGTTAAAGGACTTGTCAGCTCCATGCACCACCTGACAGTCGGCGGGGAGGTGTGGCACATAGGCCAGTGACGGTGCAAGTGACAAAATGGAAAATGTAAATTAGCCTGGAATCCATATTTATAATAAGAGAATATTCCAGGACCTCCCTGGTGGCACAAGGAGTTAAGTGCTGCACTGTGAAGCAATCCGCAGCCTCTGCAGCACGAGTCCAATCCCCGGCTGGCCAGGGAGCAACCCACATGGCGCAGCAGACCTCTCCTGTCTCGCCCGCTGCTCCCCTCAGCAGTGTACTCCGGTCACTCTGCCTGTTCTGTTCTCCATTGTCTCTGGTGAATCCGCTCATCCTCCCGCATCTCTGGCCTGTACCCCAGCTCTTGTATGCATAAATAAATAAATTTTTTAAAAAAGAGAGAGAGAGAGAATATTCCTAGTAAGAAATCCACGCCGTGCTGAAGTATTCAGGAGGAAAGGGCAGGGCACATGTGACTTCTCCGCAAATGGCTTACAAGACAGACTGTGCAGGGTGAGGAAGTAAATAAATGGGTACACGCCAACAGTCCATGAATTTGGGGGGGTATATGAGTAACGTTTGGGGGGTATATGAGTAATGTTTGTCCTATTTTTGTAACTTTTCTGTAAATTTGTGATTATTCCAAGAAAAAGCTAAAAAAGAAAAAGAAAACACAGAGTTCCTGTCTTAGACCGTACAACTTCCCACAGGGCAGTCATTTTAAAAAGAAACTAGTTTCCTTCTGCGCCGACTGATCTGTTGCTGATGTCCCAGCCCCAGCCCCATCTGGGGGCCTCACCCGGCGAGGCACACAGGCCTGTCCCCCACCCCGGGGCTTCTTTAGCTGCTCCGTCTCACAAACAGCTTTTCCTTCTAGGAGCTGAGCGACCCCCAAAGCCAAGCTGTTACGCAGCCTCCCAAGGGTACTTTTACGCGGGCCTAGCGGCCTGTCTACTCTGGGGGCAGACAGGGCCAGGGCCTCACCGTGCCGGGCCTGGTGAAGTCCACGCTGCGCGCCAGGCTCTGCCGCATCTGGTTGCTGAAGAGGCGGACGCAGACGCTCTGGAGGTACTCGGGAGTGATCTGCAGAGAGAGCACAGCGGGCCGTGAGGACACAGCCAGCTCAGCGGGACCAGGCGGGCTTGGCCTCTCAAGAAATAGGGGGTAGTTTTGCTCTCCCAGGGGCTCTGGGGTGACAGTGTTGAGCGGACATGGAAAATGCTGACCGACCCTAGCTCTGATCACCGAACAGCACCCGCTGTGTGATTCTACGTGGTTCCCTTGCTATGTGAAACAAACTCGACTGTTTTCTGTGAATTCAAGCAATAAAGCCGCTGGGTGCCTGCAACGCGCTGGGAAGAACGCTGGGCTTCAAATCTGCACGTGTGGCTCTTGTGTGTGACTCGAGAAAACCACAGCTCTGCCTCCTGCTCTCCTGATCAGTCCAGTGAGGGGGGAACGGCTACCCCATCCAGGTCACGGCGGGCAGGGGACAGGGGGACGTCTCCTACGTGACAGGTTGCTGGGGAAATGCTTCTGGTGGGGTGACAGGGGCTGTCATCCATCACCGAGGGCCTGACAACATGAGGTTGAGTGCCCGCCCCTCCCTGCTCTCTACAGTGGCTTCTTCTTCAGTCTTTCCTTCTTCTCCCACAAGCTACTGTGATTTAGGTGTCATAATGTGTGATATTTCCTCTTTTCATTTTATCAAAATAATTCATGCTTGTTTAAAATGCACAGAGGGGGCCTCCCGGGTGGCACAGGGGTTAAGGTCTCAGCGCTATCAAGCTATCGCCAACCACTGCGGCATCCCTGGCCAGGGAGCTGACCCGTGCTGCATGGCAGACCTCTCTTGTCTCCCCACTGCTCCCCTCAGTGTATTTCACTCAATCTGCCTGTTTTGCTCCCCACTCTGTCTCTGGTGAATCCGCTCACCGCCCCCCATACCTCTAGCCTGCACCCCAGTTCTTGTATACATAAATTTTTAAAAATCTTTTTAAATTTTTTTTTAAAAAATGCACAGAGGCCACAACTTCACCCCAAGACCATCCGTCACCCTACCCAAACCAACCCCGAAAGGTCACTGCCTTTAACAACTTTGCATCCTTCCAGATGTCTCTCTACACGTACCTGGTTGTTGGAGAAGCACACACTCTTCCCCAGCCTGGAGATTCCTGGGGTGACCTCCCTCCACATGGTGATGTTAATGGGCTGCTCCCTCTCCCCTTGATCTCCCTACCCCTATAAGGCATGACTTGAGGTCAATGGAGACTTTAAAATCCACTGCACGTAAAGGCGGCCATCAAATAAAGGAAGAAAGAAAGAAGTAAATGGTTTTGATTCAAATGATTTTAGTAGATTTCTTCCTTCCATCACCTACCAACAGAACTTCCACATGGATCAAAGATTCAAAGTAAAATGAAACATTAAAAACAAACAAGGGCCTCCCTGGCGCATGGGGTTAAGATGCAACCTATGAAGCAAAGAGCAGCCACCGCAGCACAAGTTCAATCCCCGGCCAGGGAGCAACCCACATGGCACAGAAGACCTCTCCTGACTCGCCCGCTGCTCCTCTCAGCAGTGTATTTCAGTCAATCTGCCTGTTCTGTTCCCCACTGTCTCTGGTGGATCCTCTTACCACCTGTACCTCTGCCCTGTACCCCCGTTCTTGTATGCATAAATCAATGAATCTTTAAACAAACAAACAAACAAACAAACAAAACCACCAGGAGAAAGAGGGACGGAAGCACACTGGCCTGTGGTGTTGGACTATGGATGAGTGGGCCGTGGGTGCACTCTGGTGGTGATAATTGATGGTGGTACCCCAATATCACCTCAGTTAAAAATAAATTAATTTTAAAAATAGGACTAACATTTCCTGCGCACAGGGACATAGGGCTAAATTAGATAATGCCCGCAGAATGCCAGCTTCACAGTCACAAAGTTAGCTGTCCCCGCCACTGCCACCATCTTCAGTGTCTGCAGAGCACTGAAAACTGCTAATTTAAGTTCCCCTTAAATCTCTCTCCTCCCTTAACTTTATGGTGATATCATTTCAGTATCTAGTTTATTCCTATTTTAGTTTCAATTTACTAAATAAATAAAAATTTTTGGTGACAGGGAGATGCAGAGAACCAGCAGGGCGTGCTGGGACAGAGAATGGCCTGCATGTGTGGATAGGAAAGTGTCTCTGTGGAGAGGACACTGGGGCTGCACTTCAGAGGTGAGGAAGACCCAGGAAAACAGGAGAAAACAGATCCTACAAAGACCTTCAGGTAAGGAGAAGCTCAGTTTGTTCAAGGAACACAAATAAGCTTAGCGAGGGCCGAAGTGGAGATGAGGTCAGAAGCAGGACGTCATCATGGCTTTGTGGCCAACGTCAAGAGCTCGGAGTGAAAGTTTGTGGAAGGGGCCGCTAGGCAAGAATTTTAAGCTGCAGAAATGACAGGCTCTGATTTATATCTTTAAAAGATCATTTTTTCCCCTGCTCGGTGAAGCACGGATTGCAGAGAGCGAGAGTAGAAGGGGGGAAACCAATGAAGAGGTCACGTCAGCCATCCAGCAGAGAGGCCGCATCTACCAGTGCTGGGAACAGAAACAGGTGGATTCTGGGCATGTTTTGGAGGTGACAGCTGACATGAGAGATGGCCGGGCAGGAGGAAAGGGCCCAGCCTCGTGCCTAGATTTTTAGGTCACTGTACAGCTGGCGGTGCTGTTTATTGAGACGTGGTGATCTCCGAGGGACGTCTGCAGTGGGAAGTCCACAGTCCTGATTTAGTCTTTGGAGTCATTGGATAGGTGAAGAATAAAGGCAAGATGAAAGCCATAGCCACAGGTAGTCCGGCAGACTAGGGGGAGAGGGATGAGGTGGTTATGACCAAATGCTTTCTTTCATCTCAACATCGTATGAAACACATAAAACAGCTCTCCAAACAGACCTGAAACTCCCCCACGCGGAGCTCGCCCTGACTTGGACTCTCGCTTCCCTCCACCACATTCCCGTAGAACTGTCTGTCTCTCTCCTCCGGAGTATGTCTTCTGTCTTGTGGCATAGTTTGAGTTCCAGGGGCTACCAGAGCAAAACCCCTCAAGGGCCACCGCAGAACCTGGCACAACGTTTAGTAAATATACTGAATTGGGAAAAAAAACCTCTGGCTGTGTAAGCAACCATTTTTATGTTTGGTTTTGTCTCAAAGTGTAGATAAATTTAGCACTGACAGGAGCTCAAGAGAATTGACAGATGTTGGGCCTCCCCTGGTGGCGCAGCGGTTGAGCGCTGGGCTGCGAGGTTGCCCGCAGCCTCTGCAGCGCCGGTTCATTCCCTGGCTGCCAGCGAGGGTCCCACAAAAAAAAGAATTGACAGATGTTATTGTTGTGACAGATGTTACTGTTTGTGAAATACAGTTATTATGTAAAAATTGTTTTATTTCCTGGGCATATTAACTGTGGAAAGATGTCAGAACAAAATGAAAAAATATGATGGGTGGACCAATGAGGTATATGCTCTCAAAAATCTTCTCATGATCATCTTCTTATAATCTTAGAAAATGCTGTATTTTGGAAAATGTTATCATTCTCAATATTTTGGAAACCTTGGTCATAAATAGTAAACAGTCAGCTCATTTTACATTATAAATATATGCTAACATATTAAAACACATTTGAAACTATTAGTGGAAAGAAGTTAGGAAGGTAATTGAATTAGAAGAAAAAACATAATTCAATTTTGAGTGCTTATAGGCAAATAATTGTTGATATTCCTTGTCGTTGAAGTGTTCTCAATATTGGACTGCTCCCTCTTAGAGTTTTCAAGTTCAACATTATATTTGACTTTAGTGTTAAGTTTTAATTAAAAGGTGGAAGTAAAAAGAAAAAACACAGTGGAAGAAAATTTGGGTGAGAATTTATTTTGGTTTCTTCAGTGGGAAAAGCTTCTTTAATAACACTATGAAAAGGCAGAATGATAAAGGGGAAAATGGATAGGTTTGACTCCGGACAAAAGCAAATTTTGCTAAATTGGAAAAAAGCAGCAAACTGAGGAAAATATTTATAAAAGATGAATTATGAGTAAAGGGCTGTGTCTAAACAGCAACGTGCGAAGCTGGGATACAACTTTGGATCCTTGATCTCTCTCTCGCTCTCTCAACACAGCTGGCTCTGCCTCACGACGCTTCCCAGCAAGCACTTCCCACTTCAGCTGCTGCCTCCACCACGGTCTCCCCTCCAAGTGTTCCCCAAACGATCTCTGGACTAACAATGGCCACCGATCCCTTCACCCCCACCTCCTCACTATCACTGCCAGGCCCCTGGGCCTGCTGGGTCCCGCTCCCCACTTCTCCCTGAGCTCCCCATACAGGAGGCTCCTCTTATCGCTCCTCAAAAACTCCCACCTTCGAGCCTTGGTGTTGACTGTTTCTTTGGCTTTGAGTCCTGGGTCAGTCCCAGAAAACAGCGTAACGAATTCCCTTGCCTCTTTCAAGGGTTTACTCAAATGTCCATCACCAAGGAAGCACACCCTGACCACCCACTGAACACCACCCTCTCCATGGACTCCCCCAAGCTCTGATCCCCTTTGCTTGGCTGCACTTTCTTTTTCTGACAGCACTTACCATTTTCTATCATAATTTACTTATCTATTATGTTTATGTCTACTGCCTGTCGCCTCTCCCCTGACTGGAATGAGCTCCCCGTGAGTTCATGGTATCTATTTTTGCCAGATGAACGTAAATGCCTAGAACAGGCCTAGCACTAGTTATCACTCAACAAGCATCTGTTAAATGAATAAGAGGAGCATATAAAAACATTCAGTTTCATATGGAATTAGTCAAATTTGCAAAATATAAACATTTTAATGAGGAAGCACAGGATCTGCAAGAGTGTAAGAAATGAACTTACACCCTCAAATCAGATTAGCGGCACCATCCTGGAGGAACTCAGCACAGATTTCAATCTGGAATATCAACCTTAAAAAACATAACAGACTCATCTCCAAGGATACCTTCCACTGTATTATAATTCGTGAAACTGGAAACAACTTAAACCTCCACCAACAGGGACCTGACTTGCAAAAGCAAGGCCCTGCCACATGGTGGAAAACTCCATAGCTCGAAGGGTGAAGCAGAAGGATATTTAATGTTCTGTCAAGAATGCATGACTCAGGGTCTCCCCTGGTGGCGCAGCGGTTGCACGCTGGGCTGCGAAGTTGACCACAGCCTCTGCAGCGCTGGTTCGAGCCCTGGCTGCCAGTGAGGGTCCCACATGGCGTGCAGACCCCTCCTGCCGCCCGCTGCTCCCCTCAGCAGTGTATTTCTTCGTCAGTCTGCCTGTTCTGTTCCCCGCTCTGGCTCTGGTGAATCCTCTCACCCTCCAGCACTTCTGACTGTACCCAGTGCTTGTATAAATAAATAAATATTTAAAAAAAAACCCAAAACAAAAACAAAAAACAAAACACTCTAGAAACAGATGATAAAGGAGACTGATTCAAGATCAATACATGCAAACTTGCAGCTCTCCTGGATGCCCCGGGGATCCCCTCATTCTTAGGCCACCAAATGGTAACTTTATCTGTTGACAATTTAATTTCTGCTCCCATTAAGAACAAAAATCAACTCAAAATGGATTAAAGAACTAGACATAAGACCTGAAACCATAAAATACATAGAAGGAAATATAGGCGAAACACTACGTGATTTGCATATCAAAGACATCTTTGCAGACGCATCACCCAAAGCAGTGATAGTGAAGGCAAAGATAAACAGCTGGGACTACATCAAATTAAAGAGCTTCTGCACAGCAAAAGAGACAATAACAAAAACAAAGAGAAACCCCACCAACTGGGAGAAAATTTTTGCACCCAACACTAATGATAAAGGACTGATCACAAAAATCTGCAAAGAGCTGATGAGACTCAACAACAACAAAGAAAATAATCCAGTCAAAAAATGGACAGAGGAACTAAAAAGAAACTTCTCTGAAGAGGAAATGCAAATGGCCAACAGGCATATGAAAAAATGTTCAACATCACTTGCAATCAGGGAAATGCAAATCAAAACTACCATGAGATACCATCTTACACCAGTGAGAATGGCACATATTAAAAAAACTAGCAACAACAAATGTTGGCGAGGGTGTGGAGAAAAAGGAACTCTTCTGCACTGTTGGTGGGAGTGCAAACTGGTCCAACCACTATGGAGAGCTGTGTGGAGATTTCTGGACCTACTAAACATAGAGCTTCCACAGGATCCAGCAATTCCACTCCTAGGTATTTACCCAAAGAACACAGAAACATCAATTCCAAAGAACACCTGCACCCCTATGTTTATAGCAGCACTGTTTACAATAGCTAAGCTTTGGAAACAGCCCAAATGCCCAAAAATAGATGACTGGATCAAGAAGATGTGGTCCATATACACCATGGAATATTACTCAGCATTCAAAAAAGATAAACACATGCAATTTGCAGCAACATGGATGACGCTGGAAGGGATCATGCTCAGCGAAATAAGCCAAAAAGAAAAAGAAAAATACCGGATGGTCTCACTCATAGCAGGAATCTAGAAAACTTAAATAAGGGACCAGGAAAATGAATAACTATAAGAAAGTGAAAATCAAAATCAACAAAAACTATGAACCAGAGACACTTTTTTGGGGGTGGGGGGCGGGAGGGGAGGGATTGGGGTCAGAATGGGGGGATTGCAATTGTATGGGGAATATAAAAATAAAATTTATTAATTAAAAAAAAAAAAAGAATAAAGTGGGGGAATGAAGACCTAGGGGGGTGGGGCATGTGGATGAACTACTGCAGATAGTGGGGTGACCTGCCAGCCTGGCCCTTTGGTGCTTATGGGGGTGTCACTGGCTGGGAGTGCCCAGAAGGCCTGGCAGCCCGTGCCTGTCACCCTTCATCTCAAAACAGACACGGGAACCACTGTGGGGCTTCCTTACCATCTTGCCACTGACGGTGGCCTCCAGAGAATCCACCAGCTCCGCCGTGACGCCGATGAGGTTGTGGTAGTCAGCCTGGATCTTGTTGTAGCGCTTCAGGTAAGTCATGGACCTCCGCTCGGCCTCGAGCAGCTGCTGGTGGAGCTGCTGCAGCACCTCTAGGGGAGCAATTTAGAGTGAAACAGAATAGTGACAAAAAAGTGGTAAATTCACAGACACACACAAAATTACATTCTATTCAAGCAACTACTGTGGCTGCAGTCAGAATATTCTGCTGGAACCACGCCCTTGACATGCTTTGTGTGAAAAGCCTACCTCGTGCCACATTTAATTACAGGTGCTCTTTAATCACCCGGGTCCAAAAGAATCATCGCTGGCTTCCCAATGGATTCCATTTCAGTGACTGAGCCCAGTGGCTTTCTTTTAGTTCTGCTCTCTCTGTACACTAAACAAACTCCACCTTCCTTTCTCTGCTCTGCTCAGCTCACAAACCACTTGAACCAACCTAGGTCTCGTCTGTTTTCACCCTGCAGAGCTCCAAGGGGGACATTCCTATCTGCAGGGCAGCGCTTCATCTGGGTAGAAGCTAGGGCTGCGGGGCTGATGCTGGAGAAAGCTAGAATCCAGAGCGAGGGTAGATTCAAGAGATGAATACACAGAAGCCACCCCACCAGGCCTTGGAGCCAGCAGGGCAGGTTCTAGGGCTCTGTTCTTGGAATCACCTCCCCCTCCGGTCATGTTCCCTGGGCACAGGTGGGACAGGCAGCACTTCCCAGCTGTCAACATCCCTTGCCCTGTCCCATCTTTCCCCTTCCCCTGAAGGCTATATTTTGGCAGGAAGGAAATGCTACTTCCAAACCCGCCTTAACTTGCACTGTCCCAACCGGCCCTGGGTGACACTGGTAGCCTCCATTTTAGAGCACATTTCATGTATGCAGAGAGATTTTAAAATTAAAGACCTGGGCTAAAATCCCCACTCTAACACTTTCTTGCTGGGTAACCTGGGGTAACATATAATTTCTTTTATTTCCATTTAACCTATAAAATGAGAATAATAGTAAGTACCATGAAGAGTTCTGGTAATGAGGAATAACAAAAATGCTTAAAGTATTTTAGCAATGCTGGTACAGAGTAAACAGCAGCTATAATTACGACTTTATTGCATGGAGAGCTTCCCTACAAGTATTTCTTTCTTTCTTTCTTTCTTTTTTTTAAAGATTTATTTATTGGGCCTCCCCGGTGGTGCAGCGGTTGAACGCTGGGCTGTGAAGCTGCCCACAGCCTCTGCAGCGCCGGTTCGATCCCCGGACACTGGGCGAGGGTCCCACATGGCGCGCAGACCTCTCCTGCCGCCCGCTGCTCCCCTGAGCAGTGTACTTCGTCAGTCTGCCTGTTCTGTTCCCCACTCTAGCTCTGGTGAATTCTCTCACCCTCCTGCACCTCTGATTGTATAAATAAATGACTGTATAAATAAATAAATCTTTAAAAAATTTATTTATTTATTTATTTATACAAGCACTGGGTACAGTCAGAAGCGCGGGAGGGTGAGAGAATTCACCAGAGCCAGAGCGGGGAACAGAACAGGCAGACTGACTAAAATACACTGCTGAGGGGAGCAGCAGGTGCGGCAGGAGAGGTCTGTCGTGCCATGTGGGATCCTCACTGGTGGCGGGGGATCGAACCGGCGCTGCAGAGGCAGGGGGCAGCTTCACAGCCCAGCGCTCAACCGCTGCACCACCAGGGGAGGCCCACCTACACGTATTTCTATGTGAACAGAGACCCTGACAAAGGGGCAGAGCTTACATGCTAAAGCAGTGGAATGCAAATTTGTAAATATACCCGAAAACCAAGATGATCAAGCCTCACTTTCACAGATGGATTTTGTGGCGTGTGGGCCATGTATTCATGACTCTGAGAAGGCAAACAGCTATGAGGATCATTCACATTCCAACTGCACTTCAAAAACTTTTTAAGTTTCACAACTGTTGATGTACAGTTTAACAGTTTAAGCAAAAACAGTCTAACTGTGAAAACCCAAAAATCCCATAATGAACTTAAATATTATTATTCAGCACCCATCGAATGTCAGTATTGAAAAACTACCTCTAAAAAGTCATCTGGGGGGAATTTACACTTAGGACTCCAATTGCTGGAATCATCCCTGGAAACCATTAAGCTTCTCCTTAAGTCTTATTAGGAAGAAGGAGTCATTATCTTCTTCCTACACTAGGTACTATTAAAGCTTTGTCTTTTTTTTTTTTTTTAAGATTTTTATTTATTTATTTATTTATACAAGCACTGGGTACAGTCAGAAGTGCGGAAGGGTGAGAGAATTCACCAGAGCCAGAGCGGGGAGCAGAGCAGGCAGAAGGACCGAAGCACACTGCTGAGGGGAGCAGCGGGCGGCAGGAGGGGTCTGCGCGCCATGTGGGAACCTCCGCCGGTGGCTGGGGAGCAGCTGGGGATCGAACCGGCGCTGCAGAGGCTGCGGGCAGCTTCGCAACCCAGCGCTTAACTGCTGCACTACTGGGGAGGCCCTAAAGCTTTGTCTTATGTACAAATTTAAAGTTAACAAAAACGAGAACATCCAACAATGAAAATTCTACAGAATATTCATAATCCTGTTTTCACAGTAATGAATACGGGTACCTGAGAACTTTCTCAGCATGGACCACGGCGGATGCGGACTGAACTACCAAAGCCCACAAGCTGGGTCCAGTGAGCTCCCAAATCACCAGTGATGATGTCACCAAAGTCGTCCTGCCCTAAAGGGGGCTGCAAGAAGGCCCTCTTCCCTCGGAACCCCACTGTGTCATGAACTGAAGGCACTACCTGTGGGACTTTGGCTTTGGGAAACCAGCTTCAGGACTTAGCACATTTCACTGTAAGGTATGCCCGAGGGGAGAGACCTGACCGCCAGCAACCTGCAAGAAGTGGGGACTGGGCTGATGTGGACTTCTAGTGAGTCCGAGACCTGGGACACAATGGTGAGGGAAATCAGACATGGGGGACTGTCATGTCCACCATGCAGTAAATCTTTATTGTCTTAGTGCTCATTATACACTATTTTAATTGCAGCAGGTGTAACATCAAAGCATACCACATAATGATAACATGCATGAGTGATTAGTCTATTTTCTTACTATTATCTATTTACCTCAGACAGTAGGGTACCAGGTGGTTAGTTCTCACACACATAATCTTATCGCCTCCTAGCCTGAGCCTGGGAAGTTCGCTCATTATTTTGTTGTTGTCAATCTGTGGAGATGTACGCAGGTCCCTTCCAGGCTCTCCACACCAAGTCCTGTCACCCAGAGGTTTTCCTCCGAGACGCATGTGTTTTCACATGCCTTAGGGACTCGGGTCAAGGCCCTTCTGCTCACTGCGCAGGGTCTCTCCATTTTGTTATTCTGACTGTTGAGATGTAGAAGCCTGACTCCACGCAGGTCACTTTCCAGGCTCTCAACACCAAGTCCTGTCACTTAGGGGTTTTCCTCTGAGATGCATGTGTTTTCACATGCCTTAGGGACTCGGGTCAAGGCCCTTCTGCTCACTACGCAGGGGGCTGCCTCCAACACGCTGACACCCTGTGACTGGTTCAAACACATCATTTAGCAGAACAGCCTCTGCTATCCAGAGACATCCCCTTGTGGACAGCTGGGGGGCTCCAGACAGGACCTGGTCTTTGCTGCCAAGTGTCTGGGTCACAGCTCAAAGGTATCAACTTTATGTCTGAGCATCACATTGGGGACTCTTCCTTAAAATAGTTTCATGAGATAAGGACAACTGAGCCAAGGTGCCTTGCCATGCAAGATCTCAACTTTTAATGGCGATGGCTTATTAGAAATTCCATGCTGTTTTAATGATAAGATCTTAGTTGAGCTGGTGAGATTTGCTGAGACTTCATATATCAAAACTACTGACATAATTTGTACAAGAGTCCAAAGAACTGCATCCCAAGTTTTAAACAAGTGATATATACAACTAAAGGAAGGTCAGTTAAGATCATAGAAAAATTTCCTGTAATTCCAGCATGAGATGAAACAATAACAAGAGGGATGGTGCTCCCCCCTCCCCGCCCCCAACAGCCAACAGTCAAGTTTCTCTTGTTAACATTCCTACTTCATTTGGGTACACAGCCTTTTTTTAAGAGTAGATGAGATTTAATTTTAGAAACTCTGTGTCTTCTCAAGATAAAATGATATATATTTAAAATGTGTAGAATTATTTTTCTAACCTAATTTTAAAAACCCCTAAAATCAATCACTCTCTTTACAGTTTGATGTGCTCTTTCTTCTGTGTATTCAGACATGAATCACTCCTTGCTATGTTGCTAATCCACAAACACTGGGTGAAAAGAGTTATGACTTATAACTTGAACATAGGTCACCATTTAAAAAAAATACTGTTAAGGGTCTGAACTCTAGAAAAACAATGAGCTGCTCATGTTCTGAAGGGCCTGAATCAATTCAGGTTAGAGGGGCTGAGAGATACTCTTTCTATATCCTTTTTAAATGGAGAGGTGAAATAATAAAGCCATAGGCTGTATCGGCAAACTAAGTTTTTATTCTGACCGCCATTTGTGATGCAATTCCTTTTGAGAGAGTTTTCCTCAGCAAGCACCTTTTTTGCCTTCTTTAACACTTGAGGAAATCCTACTTTATGCATGGAACCTTCCCATCAAGGAACATGGAGTAGTATTACCCAAGCATTCAATTTAAAGAACATTCTAGACTCAACATCTGAGTCTAGAATTAAACTGGGCGCATGTCTGTGCCTGGTGATCACCGCAGCCAGTCTGGGAGGAGGGGGCAGTGGTATGACACCGGGGTCCAAGTCTCTGGGACGCATAACCTGGGGTGCTAACCTCCGACCTCTGCAGCACTGGGTGGTCTGCCCAGCTGCAGACACACGCTGAGCCTGCCAGAATGGAGGCCACCGACTTGATGCTTGACTGTCCTCAGCAGAAATGACACGGAGCTACTTGAGAGGCTGGGAAGGTGACAAGTCACCCAGTTCTCTCTGCAGACCTTCACCTTGGGAACCCAGTCACCACACCCTGAGGAAGCTCGGCCACACAGAGGCCACTCATGTGTCCCGGGGAGGGCGTCCGCTGGATCCCAGCCAGCATCGGCCACCAGACAGGGAGGGGGCCTTGGAGATGGCCCCACTGTCTCCATGGACTGTGGAGCCCCTGGGGAGAGCTGCCTAACTCGGCCCACGGCCATCAGACCAGACAGGACAGCGGTGATGGTAATGACCACGGCAGTATTACCACATAGCAGCAGACATTGTTTCCGGCTATGGAAGCCCCAGGCCGTGTGCCAGGTGGTGTGCCAGGTGGTGTGCCAGGCGGTGTGCCAGGCAGCAGCAGAAAAGGAAAAGGGGGGGTGGGGGGGAAGCTGCATGTTCAGGGGTCAGGCGGCAGGGAAGACCCACTCTGCCGGCTGTGCGGACACGGCCGAGCCCCGGAGAGCTCTGGGGGGTGCGGGGTGGGGGGGGAGGGGGTGGCGCCAGAGCGGGAGCTCCGGGGTGCAGCCTGGAGGCCCTCAGGGCAGCCCAGGTTCACCCCGCAGCCAGCCATGGCCCCTGCCCTGTGCAGACCCAGCCGGAGGGCGCGGCTGTGGGGGTTGGCAGCCCCTGAGCAGCCCTCCCGGCCCGGCCGAGGCACTGGCGAACGGGCTCCTTTCCTTAAAACGACCCGAACGCTCTACAAAGCAGCCTGGAAAAACATGCCAGGAAGGTTTTGCCACCAGCCCCCTCGGGCGCCCGGCCCAGGCGCCCCCCGCGGGCGGCGAAGCCAAGAGTTTGGGTCACTGAGCCTCGCTCGCCTTTCTGAAAAACAGACAGATCCGGTAACAGTCACGGGGGATGGAAAACTATCATTTTATGCTAAAAACTTCAGATTATAATTCTTATCTTGAGTGTGAAAAAGGGAAGCGCTCCATAAGGACGCGCGGCCTCCCTGCTGCCGGGACCCGGCGCTGGTCCAAGGGCAAAGCCACGGGCACCGTCCCCACCCGAGGGTGCCGTCTGGGGCGCCGGATTCTCCTGCTTTCCCGGCCTGCCTGCCCGGGTCCTGGCAAGGTAACAGGCCCGGCCAACCTGAAACACGGGCCTCCAGGAATCGCTGCTAAAAATGAGTGCAGAGCATTTCATAAACGTCTAGACTGTCAGAGCCCTCGTTTGCCAAACCTGTGGAATCATCTCCAAATCTGTCCCTGTCTCACTACTTGAAACTTGACAAAGTCGTTATTCAAAAATTTCTAATATACATCAGGAGGGGTGTGAGCCTACCCCCCAAATCATACACCCGGTGCTGCTAACCTGTTACTTCAATGGAAAACATTTTTTAATCTTGATGATTTACCTTTGTTATTTTGACCATTCTCCTTCTGGGATGAGGAAACCGTTCAGGAAAAGTCATTCAGGATACAGATCCCAGCAAATCTCCCACCGTGTGGCCACCTGAGAGGGCACATCAGCCTGGGAAAAAAGGGCTCTCAGGACAGTGAGGGCCGCTTCTTACTGATGCTCTAACTAGCTAAGACACCCAGTTCTCAAAGTGGGATGACACACTCCTAAAAATCCCCTTGTCTTCTTCTCAATCACTGTGTCCTCCCAGGAGCGTCCCAGCTCAGTGACCCGTGGGTGGGCTGTTACCCAGTAACTGAAATTATTACATACAATAAGGTTCTTTGAGAAGAGAGGCCATATTCCCATAATTTTTATTATGGTGTATTGCTATAATTGTTCTACTTAGTTATTACTTCTATTACCCTGACTGTGCCTAATGTATAAATTAAGCTTTCTCGTAGGGGTGTATGCACAGGGAAAATGGGCACAACAGGTTCAGTGACTGAGATGAAGACAAGGGGATTTTTATGAGAGTGTGTCATCCAATTTGAGAACTAGGTGTCTTAGCTAGTTAGAGCATCAGTAAGAAGCGGCCCTCACTGTTCTGAGAGCCCTTTTTTACTAGCTGTGGTTTCCAGCATCCTCTGGGGGTCTTGGAACATGCCCTCCATGGATGAGGGGAGACTATGTATTTCAACAGCCCCTAACTGGCCTCTGCCCCCCTCGAAAGATATTTCTCACTGCTACCAAAACATTCAACTAAAAATGCAAATCTGAGCTCCTATCCTCTAAGTTCACAATGTCAGTGCTAACACTTTATCCCAAGGAATTAGAGATTGGGATGGAAATAGCTCGCAAGGTAGCTAGTAGCTACGAGCAGGCTCTGGAGCCAGGTTGTGAGGCCTGAGCCTCACTCCCCATGGCTGCAGGAATGAAGATCAGGTACCTCACCTGCTGGAGTTGAGTTTTCTTAGTTCTTCTGGCGGAGCTTTATTGAGATGTAATTCCCATGTTATGATTCACCCACTTAAAGTGCACGTTTTCACAGTTTTCAGTATATTCACAGAGTTGTGTAAACAGTCATTTTTTAGAACATTTTCATCACCCAAAAAGGAAACTCTACCCACTATCAATCCTTCCCATTCTCCCTAGGCCTCCAGGCCCAAGGGAGCCTCTCATTTACTGTCTCTCTAGATTTGCCTATTCTGGAACTTTCCTACAAATGGAACCACACAACCTGTGACTTTTGGGCCTGGTTTCTTCCACTCGGCAAATGTTTGACAAGGTGACAGCCTCAATACTTCATTCACCAAAGACTAGTCCACCGAGCAATACATAACCTCCTGCATATCCATCTCTTGCTGACAGGTATCTAAGCTGTTTGTACTTTCAGGCTATTTTAAGAAAGGCTGCCAGGAGCCTTTGTGCAACAGCTATCATGTAGGCAGACTTGCATTTCTCCCAGGTACACAGCCAGGAGAGGAATTGCTGGGTCCTGTGGTAACTATGTTAAACCTCTGATGATATATGATCCAGTTTTGAATAGTCAGTGGTATGGGGAAGCGCCCTCTTCATCTGATAATATTAAGAAACACACAGAGGTACAGGCATCCATATTTACTGCAAACATTACATGCTTTGAAGCCTATGTGTTCAGATGCATTTCTGTGCCTCCCAGGGCTTCTATAAGGAATAGGATCAATTTTATGATCGGGAATAAAAATGAGATTCTTGGAAAAATGTAACATGGCCATGGTATTCTCCTGCTTAAAAAACTTCCAATGCTCCTTGAGACTTATGAGCCCTCACTCAGACCTTTGTGCCCTGGCCCTTACTCCGGCAATGCTGAATTCTTTGCCATTCCCCAAACAAAGCGTCTCACTGTTTTTGCACAAACTGTTCCCTTTACCTGGAATCCCTATTCCTCATTCTGTCTGCCTCACAGACTCCCATCTTATCACTCAAAACTCCAACTTGGCTAAGGGAACTATGTCTTGGCCTTACTTCATAGCCCTAATTCAATATTCAACTTAATAGGTGGGTTGAACTGGCTGAAATATTTCCATGGAACAAGGAAAGGAATAATGTTTATGTATCCTGCTCTATTTTAGTCTCTTTGCTTCAAAGCACGTTGAAAGGGATGAAAGGTGACAAGTACAAGCAAATTACAATACTAAGAGCTAAGAGCCCTCCTTGAGAAGAGTCTTCAGCATGTGGCAACTGTTTTAAACAAGCTTCATGTATTAACTGAATCCTCATAAAATCCCCCTAAAAGTGGCACTAATGTTACCATAACCTCACTTATTATGCAAATAATTTCTTCTAAATTCTTAACATAATGGCATCCATTATGTTTAAGCTGAGAAATGTTTTTTAAAGCATTATTAAAATAATCATAAGCCAAGTTGGCCAAGTCCTATTTTTACTAAAACTCATTTTATGTGCAACTGAGAGGCAGAGGATGGGCTGGGCGAGCCTGGTATGTGGTGGAGGAAGGATCTGAACAGAAGCCTCCAGGAGGTAAAGCAGAGAGAAAGGCTGTGGTTCGGGCCGGCTGTGGACAGTCTCCATGTGAGACCAGGGGGCTGAGCAGGCACCAGGGAGCCTGTGAAGGCTCAGGAAGCCGAGGGAAGTGTGTCACGGAATCTCCAGGACAAGAGTTCACTTAGGGAGCCCAACCTCCCGAGACAGGAAGGAAGCAGAAGGAATCATGCGACAGAGTGGCCTAAATCTGTCATTACATCCAACAAAACAAATACCGACTTTATAATGCAAAATGGCACACTCTCGTTATGAAATAACTTCTCATACAGTCACGTTCAGAATAAAAGGAGACAAGATCCTTAAAGAGCAGCCAGCTCTTGGGATCAGCTGCCCAGGGCCTCCTTCTGCATCTGCCACCCGGCATTCTGCCCCTTTCACTCTCAAGAGCACCCCAATTTGGAGAGTGATGATGCCCATACAACTCCGTACCTTTGCTAGAATCATCAAACTGTGCACTTACAATGGGTGAATGCTACGGTGTACAATTCCACCTCAATAAAGTTTCCGGCAAAGTCCCACTTAAAGGACAAGTTAGACGACCACTCGGTCCATGAGGCCTTGCTCTGCCTCTGGCCAGAAAGATCAATACTGCTATTCCGCAGAGGGACAATTACTCCAAGGAGTTCTTTTCCAAAGAGACAGACCTTTTTTTTTTTTCCCAACTGAGACAGCTTCTAGGCTCATGAGGTAAAGAGAAGACCCTAGCCCTGTCTCAGAGACTAAGGCCACAGAAGTCCACCCTTCCCAGGTCTGGGCATACTCCCCACAAATGCTCTATTCACCATGTGAGTATGAAAGCAACACCGACAATTACCCCCAAGAGGAGGCGGGCCCCCACATAAAATCTGGCTGAAACCGCCAGTGGGTTCCTGGCCTTAGAAGGATACATATAATGTGAAAAGCTTTGGTGTATTACTGGCTTTAAAAATTAGAGCCAGAAACTTTTCCAACTTCGACTTTAATTCTGGAGTCCACGTATCCTGAAAGAAAAAAACAAAAGACAGAGAAAAATGTTATTTCTCACAACGCCGTGGGTTCCCTGGGCAACTCTTCTGTTGGATCCCCCTGGAAGGAAGAAAAGCAAAAGTGCTGGGTCGCGAGAGGCCAACGGGATTGTCAGGCTGTGGCCTTCACGTGAAACTATGCCCTGCACCTATGATGTCAGCAGCAAGGAGTCTTGCCAGGGTTGTGATGGTGTGAAAAGTAGCATTAGGACATCTGGCGACTCACTATAAAGGATGCAAGTAACTGCTCGCAGAAGGAAAGAATAGAGCTCTTTCATCAACAGTGGGAAAAAAACATGATGTGTTACTTCATGTGATTTAAACACAAGCCTGACAGGTAACCTTATCAGGTTGAACCCAAAAAGCTCAGGGCAGTTCAGGCACACACAGCCTTGGCAGGAATTATCACTAAGTCACTGAAAGTCTCCAGAAGACAGAGCCTCATTCCCATAATCCTCATCTAGAGAAGAAAAAAAGACACATGCTGTTATCTGCCTCAAAAACCATGATATCAAGAACTATGATACACTTTCAGGTTGATGTTTTCCTTAAAGATAAATTATTTACCTCAAATAATACTCATTGAGCAGGTAAAAATAATGACTTAGTAATAAAAAAGAAAAAAGCAACAATCTTTTTCAGGATAATTTTCCTTATAATCTTCACACAAAAATACCTACTACTTGAACCAAGAAGTTCCACAGAAAAGAAGTTTAAAAATGTACATCAGTGGACCTTTCCCACCTGTGCTGTCTAAGTATTTCTACTTAGAAGGTTCTCACTAGCAAACAGAGTCTGCTGAAAAGAGCTCATCATAATATCCACAAAGGATTTCCTTCCTGTGGCAGGGCAGAAGGGATAACCTGAAAAAGCAAGGAAAACAACTAAAAGCTGTACAAAATAGAGACCATCTTTTTAGTGCCTCCCTGAGGGAGAAGAAAAGAACTACAGAGACCAAACATTGGAGCTGGGCCCTCAGGGTAACAGCAGATTTGTGAAGACCTTAAACTTCACTGCTGAGTGTATTTTGTCAATCTGCCTGTTTTGTTTCCTGCTCTGTCTCTGGTGAATCCTCTCACCCTCCCGCGCATCTGGCCTGTACCCCAGCTCTTGTATAAATAAATAAATAAATCTTGAAAGAAAAAAAAAAAAAAACAAACAAAAAAAACCTTCATTGCTGAGAGCCATCACAGGGACAGAACACAGAAGACAGGGGATACTCTGTGGTGAAGTAGCCAGTAGGAGAACTCAACAAAAAACAGGAACCCCAGAGGGGCCCCTAAGCCATCAGAAAAAAGTTAGAGACAAACAAATCCACCGCACAGAAGGGAACAGTCAGGCAGAACATCTCTCTGGACTTGGGCACTGGGTGGGAGCGAGAGAAAACCTCACGTGGGACTTCACAAGCATAAACCTGTCTCATAAAAGATTGGGGCCTTTCCTGACACTATCTGTGTAGTTCCCAGACCTCGAGCAAACAATTGAATTTAAAATGGCCCTGAGTTGGAAATGCCCTAGGTGACCAAGAGATGAAATGCAGACCTTCTCTGGAAGAATCAAACTCCACTCAGGCCTTAAAATAAACAAACAAAAAAAAAACCTCCCACAAGTCACAAGTAAAACAAAATCACTATTAAGAATTTAAAAACCTGAAAAACCAAAAGTACCACGAATGAGAGAAAACACAGCAGGATGAAGTCTACAGACTTCTGATGCTGAAGCTAACAGAGAATATAAAACAAATACATTTGACACGTCAAAGAAATAGAGAGGCCTGGAAACATGAGCCAGGAATAAGAGATGACAAAAATGATCCAGCAAGTTTGAATAAAAAACAAAAAGAGGGCCTCCCTGGTGGCGCAAGGGGTTAAGACACAACATATGAAGCTATCAGCAGCCACTGCAGCATGAGTTCGATCCCCGGCCAGAGAGCAACCCACATGGCGCAGCAGACTTCTTCTGACTCACTCACTGTGCCCCTCAGCAGTGTATTTCAGTGAATCTGCCTGTTCTGTTCCCCACTCTGTCTCTGGTGGATCCTCTCACCCCCCACACCTCTGGCCTGTACCCCAGCTCTTGTATGCATAAATAAAAATAAATCTTTAGAAAAAAAAAAAGACATAAATCTCTGTAGACTCCCTGTTGTGAAGTCATACAATGCTAAAGGCCAGAAGAAAAACCACAGGCCACCCACAGGGGCCAGCAACCAAATAGACAGCAACACCAAGATGGCAACCGTAGGTCTAAGGGACGCAACTGTAATAAGCCTTATTCTCTACACTCCATTCGACAAACAAGAACTGAAAGATCTCCTTAAAAGAATGTTCTTAAAGCCAAGGAGAAAATGATCCCAGAAGGAAGGTCTCCCAGGCAAGATGGAAGAGGAAGTGGAAATACCAGCAAACAGAAGGAGAAATCTGGCCCCACACGGACTGCATACCACAGGACAAATCTTTCATTGACAGGGTTAAAGCATGGCAGTGACACACCTGCAATGGCAGCAGATGACTGGGAAGGGGATGAATGAGGTTAATGTACCCTCAGGCCTTTGCAAGACACTAAACTCAGACTTTCTCGTGTTTACATACAAAAGTATCCACGGTGACCATTAAATGAACCTACCTCAAGAATAGTCAAAGGGGTGAAATGAAATAAAATGACTCCCCATGATTCCTGATGGTTACTAAATCCCTGGACTCTGGAGACCCTGGACTATGCTGGAATGCCAATCCTGAGTGGGCCAAGCTGCCTGTGCAGCCTCGGCCGACCCTCCCTGACTGTGCAGCCTTCCCCGCCCCAACTCTGCTGCAGCCACACACACTGCTCTGTCACAATGTTCACAACAGAAGACTTTGCTGCGAAAGAATCTAATGTCCCTTTTCAAGTCTCATCACCTTCCTGTCTTATATTTTCAACCTTCTAGGAGAAGAAGGGAGTAAAACTAAATTTCAGGGAAAAAACAAACAAACACGGAACTCTACTCAGGCTACCCTTCCATATGCCTGCTCTGCTGACGTCAAATCGGCGTAGCAGTGCAGACTCAGGAGCGGTGAGGCAGTGCTCCCGGGTTATAATGGAACTGGCTGTGGGCAAGAACTGTGTCTGTTCTTCAGCGGCAGGTGAGTAAGCTCCATATATTGCGTTGTCAGACAAGCCATGACGCATTTTTGTTTGAAAAACATAGGAAAAAAAATACATAATGACTTTTCCAACAACCCAATAGATCTTTTTAAACAGTGTGCACTTGTTAGAAAAAGCAATCTAATTACACCAAAGCATCTCAGTCTCTAAAGACATTTCAATAAACCTCTCAGCAGGACATCTTAATTTTAGCAAGTAAACAATCATTTCGACCATGGATAAAGCTCGTTAATAATAATGAATGTTATGCTGGAATGCCAACTGAGTTGAAATATAAGAATTCAAAGAGCTACAGTCAAATAACCTGGTGGAAATAATAGTGTACACTCAGATGATCACATACACACCAGGTGAATGAAATTTTAATACAAATTAAAATATGCACGACCAGTAATTGCGTAAAGTCCCCTAGTTACTTTTCAGGCTACTAATTCTTGGTGTAGCTAAAAAAGTACACACAGAATGGCTTAAGCGGCATTTACCTTTAAAAATATTTATGGTAGTTGTGGTTAACAAAGTCTTAGTGCCACCCAAATATCATACTTGATGGCCCAAGATAAGTTTGTTAAAGCAAATTGGCAGAACACTCTTTTAAAATATAAAAGACAGCAGCTATAGATACAAAAGTCAGCAGATTTAAGCTTTTACCATATCACTCAGACACCGAGGGCACATTTAAGGTGAACCCGCAGGGTCTGGGTAGGATTCAGAGGCCCTGGCTTACCTGGAAGAGCTCTTTAAACGAGGGGTGTGCCCGAGGGTTAGGGACAAAAGGCAGGGCGTAGAAAGGGAGGAACTCCGTGGTCTGGCTCAAGGCGGCCCCTTTGGTCTCCAGGTAGGTTTTGAAATAAGAAATCCTTTCATCCAGGTCCTCTTTGTCCTAGGAGGAAGGACAGACACTCGTCTGAGGCCTCTGGCTACCACCAGCAGCCCCTTGACCCCATCTCTGCAGACGCAGGGCAGCCTCCTCCATCTGGCCCACACAGCCCAGCAGACCCACTGTCCAGCCAACCTAGCATCACCCTGTTTCACCCCTTGATGAACTTTGTCAGGAAGCTCAGAGAACTAGACATATTGCTCATTAGGCTGCTTCTTCACTGTATTATTACCATTTCCTCACGTCCTTAACCTTCTTCGTAACATCGTTTTGAAGGGCAGGACAAAACCTCCTCTTGTGGGTCTGTCCTGACTTACTGAAGCAGGTCCCCAGGGTGAGCTACATCACAAATGAATATGGGATTGCATTTGAGGGTCCCTTAGGAGAGGGTTCTGCAGGTGAGTGGAACCTTCCTATTTTTTGGAAACAGAAGCTTCCATCCCGCCAGCCTGCTGTCTAGCTAACCGAGGCCGGATCTGCCCGCTTCGCCACCTTTGCGGCTGGGCAGATGCCCTCATGGGGCTTCTGTGAGCTGCTCAGCCTGGAAGCTGGTTCTTCCCTCTCCGAAGCCTCTGGCCTCACCAGGTATCTCCCTCACACCCTTGGCCCTGGAAGAAGCATGCTCTTGCAATACACCTCACCTCACCTGCGCTGTTAGCCCTCTTCTGACCACCAAACTTAAAAACGATACAACTTTGATTTTTCTTAAATCTTAGGTCAAATGGAAAAATGAGAAAACAGGAACAAAAGGAAAATGAAAAGTTTCCATGATCTCACCCACGTGGGTGCGAGACGTGAGCAGCCTGCGAGAATGGCCACTCGGCTCACAGCTGCTGTTCCCCAGAGAAGTGCTGAGTTTCCAAAAACATGAGGCATTCAAGAAAATAATGGCGCTTCTGTTACAGAAATGACTGAAGCTCCAAATAAGCTAGAAAATAAACTGCTGGGGGAGGCCTCCCTGGTGGCACAAGAGGTTAAAGATACAATCTATGAAGCTGTCCGCAGCCTCTGCAGCACGAGTTCAATCCCCAGCCAGGGAGCTACCCACATGGCACAGCAGACCTCTCCTGACTTGCCTGCTGCTCCCCTCAGCAGTGTATTTCAGTCAATCTGCCTCTTCTGTTCCCCACTCTGTCTCTGGTGAATCCTCTCACCCCCCCACCATACCTCTGGCCTGTGCCCCAGTTCTTGTATGCATAAATAAACCTTGGGAAAAAAAAAAAGAAACTGCTGGGAACGAGGTAGAAAATCAAGAGACACCTCCTTCCGGGAGGGGGTGTGATAAAATGGCCACAAGACCAGGTCGATGCTCGTCTGGGAAGCAACCAGCTAACACACTCCTTAAATCATCTGGACAGACCCAATCCCCAGGTGAACCTACTGGTCTCCCCACGGAGTGTTTCAGAAGATAGATGGCAAAATGGATGTGAAGATAGAATTCCAGCTTCTGGGCAAAGGAGTCTCCGTTTCGGACGGAGCCAGGAATGTTCTCCTCCCACAAGTCGAAGAACACCTTCTGGTCTCCGCTGTCAAATGCAGCAACGAGGTCTTTCTGTGGAGAAGACACCAGGCTGAACCCCAGTCATAAGGGACATCCCTTCTCCCAACACCCCAAATTCTTACAACCCCCTAATACACTGTGTATCCCATAAACTCCCTGGCTCCTGTGTGGGGAAAACCAAGTGCCTTTTTTGGAAATAAAGGGCAGGAAAAGGGAGACCAGAGAGCTTCAAGCTTCTTAGAATGGGCTCCCTCAGACCGACCCCGGTTCCCTACCCCTTTGTAATACCAGGTGCTGGCATTATAAACAACAGACGAGGCACATAAGGCCTCTGAACTGGAAGAAATCACACTTGAGGCCACTAACTCATGAGTATATAAACACACTGACATCACCCCCTGGATGTCACCCACTGACCCTCAGCATGAAATGGTAACAACGGGCCAGACCAAGAACCCCACCAGGCCTCAGCAGGACATGCCTCACACAGGTGGAAACTGGCCAGGAGGGCAGCCACCACATCCCTGTGCAGATATGATCTAAAAGATGCAGATATAACTTTATTAACAGAGAAGCCATTAAAAAAAAAATCAGAAATATTTTTTTCCAAATCGCAGAACTGTTGATGGACACTAAACAATATCCACAAGTGTGAAGGTGGGTGGAAGGGCCAAGGGCTGTTACTGACAAAGCAGAGTAAGCCTGGCTGCAGCCTGCAGCTCTAAGCCGCATGCTGGATCTTGGGCCTTGTGAGCGGAGTTGGCAGGCAGCGACTGTCGTTTGGAGGCTCCTGAAAGAGACCCATCAAATACCAAGGCACTGCAGCGCCGAGCTCAAGGAATGCGTGGGCGAAGAGAGCACAAACACCACAGACCTTAAGGAAGCTCAGGAGACAAGACAGATCAAGCGATCCAGGCAGAATTACGGAAAGTCAAACAAAAGACAAAGGCTCAGAAAGAGAGAGAAGGCAGCACATGCAAAAAACGTTTGCCTAAGAAGGAATCCAGTTTAGTTAGATACATGCATCGGCTGAATACAGGCAGTAGGAAAACCCGAAGAGTCTTGTTTATCTATATGATGCGCATGTGTTTCTCCCGACACGCCAGTGTTCAGGCTGGGAACACTGCTAAGGGCTCGCGCTTACTAAACAAAACAACAAAACACAGCGAAGCTGATTTATAAAAGACGCCTGTCTGCATTATTCTCGAAGACCGATGCTGCCGACCGATCTTCAAACTCCTAAAGACACTCCGTGCTGAAGAAACAGATGGAAGCGCAGGTTAGTGTGCTGTTTCCCTGGACTCCGACGCTCCCTGCAGTTGGCTGGGGCAGGTACCATGTGTACAGACCTGCGTCCTCAGGGGTCAGCACACCTCCTCCAGGAGGGCCAGGTGATAAATACCGTAGACTTTGTGAATCATCAGAGTCTGTTACAACAGTAGCTGTATGTAAACCATGGGGCACTGCTGTGTTCCCCCAAAATGAGCATAAGAATAAAAACAAGAGCACGGAGAACAATGTGCAAGGTGTTATGATACTTAAGCCAAAGACATTCTTTAATAAGGAAACTTCAGATGTGACAACATCACAGTAATGTCAGGTGATGTCATATCTCAATGTCATGTGAGCAAGATCATCCGACTCTGAAGATCCTTATTCTAGAAGAACTGGCATACATTTCACAAAACTCCCGATTTTGCAAAGGCAGCACGCGGATGAGCTTTGTCCTCCTTAACAAAGGCCTCTTTCCCTTTGTGGGCCTTGGACATGGGAAAGGACAGCCTGGCATCCACGTGGACAGGGGGCTGCCACAGCAAAGCACAGGCAGCCCCGCATGTCACCTCTGGAGAATTTGGGGACACCCGGCCTGAGGACCCCTGCTTTGTTACTGACTGACACAAAGGTGATGGGGAGCCCAGCCCTATATCCCCTGCTGAGCGCCGAACAGACCCTGCGGCCGCTCTGGGGGAGGTGTCCTCCCAGGGAGGGCCCGTGACAAGCGCCCTCCGACTGTATGAACGGGGCGCAGACTCTTGGTGTCTGCGGTGTGACTGCGAAGGGCCCACGGACAGCTTGTTCTAAATTCTATAGTGCAGACCTGGGACGATAAATCGTGCTATGTCATTATTATCACATCTCTCATCCATCCTAACTTATGATTCATATCCTGTTCCTGGAAATGGTTTAAAAGAGTATCTATGTCGAAAGCAATCCAGAGCCACAGCTCATGTGATCACAGATAGTAACGATCTTAAACTGTGTAATCTGTGACCACAGCCAGAATCTCCACGCTCAGACACACACACTCTTCTGTGGGACTGAGCTTAGGGAAATGCCCCATCTGCTGAGCCCCACTGACACGTCACAGAGTTTGCTAAGCCCCTGCTCCAGGTACTCCTGTTTGGGAAACTTTTCAGGGTGGGGCCCAGCTGGTGGGGATGAGCAGAGTAGACATGCTTGTGCCAATCGGGAAGTTTCCAGCTCTTTCAAGTTCTATTGAAATGGGCTCAGAGACATCAGAGATATGCAAGCCAAGTCCCCAATGAGATGTCGCCTCTCACCCTCCAGGATGGCCGCAATCAAAGCAAAATAAACAAATAAACATAAAATAACAAGTGCTGGAAAGAAACTGCAACCTCGGGCACCATTAGTGGAAATGAAAAATGGTGCAAGTGCTGTGGAAAACAATATGGAAATTCCTCAAAAAATTTAAAAATACATTTTCCACTTGATCCAGCATTCCCACTCTAGCATGTGCCCTGGAGAATTCTACAGAAGGTCACAGACAGTTGTACATCCATGTTCAGAGCAGCGCTATTCAAAACAGCCAAGAGGCAGAAGCAACCCAAGTGTCCATTGATGAGTGGATAAGCACAATGTGGTCTAGACACACGGTGGAATATCATACACCCCCCAAAAAGAAGAAAATTCCCGCACAGGCTACGACATGGATGAAACTGGAGGCCATTACACTAAGTAAAACAAGCAAGTCACAAAAAAGACACTGGCTCCACTTGCAAGAGGTGTCTCGAGGAGTCAAATCCATGAAACAGAACTCAGAATGGTGGTTTCCCCAGGCTGGGGGAGCAAGAGCTGGGGGTTGCTGCCTAATGGGAGCAGAGTTTTGGATTTGCAAGATGAGAAGGTTCTGGAGGTTGGTTTCACAACAATGTGAATATACTTAGCACTACTGACTGTACCTCTGAAAATAGTTAAAATGGTAAAATTTACATGCTTTTTTAAAATGACATTTTAGGAAAAAAACAAAGACCCAAAGAGGTATTTGTTTTCAGACACAGCTACAACTGAAATGTGATGTCAAACCTAGTGCAAAATGTACACAGCCACCAATGTTGGAGACAGCACATAGATGCGGAAGCTTCTGGACACAGAGTTCTTTGACCTTATCCAATAAGGTCACACAATCTGGTTAGTGTGAGCATTACAAAAGATGCTGAATGTTCACTAGTCAGCTACTGAGGATTTGCTGTATTCCCTCCAATGTTACCTTCACTGAGAGATGCTTACATATTCCCCAACTCGAGGTTAAATGTAGGTGCCATCCACGCTAAAGGGACCTGGGACACCAGCTGCTGTCAGTGTCTGGGAGTGAGGCTGATTTTCTGAATACCAAGCTTCATGCAGACTAAGAACAGCCCCTGCTTCCGTCTCTAGAAATAACTACATCTTTGCTTCCTGGTCTGGAAAGTTTGCTCTGGGCTTGGGAGGTGTCCACAGGGCTGCCTGGGGCAGCACAGACAGAGGTGCCTGGGTCTGAAGCGGTGGCAACTCAGTGTCCAGGTGCCTGAGGCCTAGCAGGGCAGAGGGCGCAGCCCCACAGGCCACTGGGACAGTGTCCCTCCCAACGGTGCCCTGTGCCTGCCCCTGGGAGTCAGGGGCCCCAAGCAGATGGGCCTGACTTTTGGCTCCTCGGGTGAAGCTCGCAAATCAAGTCCCAATTTGTTTATGGAAGTAGGTGCTAGGTTGAAATACATCATACATACATAATACATTTATTAAAAAATAATGAAATCAGGCAAAGCTGAAACAACATGTTGGTTCTCTTGTCATTGGAAGTTCTCACAGTGAACCAATCACTTGCCTGAAGTGGAGACATCTGACAATGAGAGGAGGATTCTGAAAGGCCTTCCTAAGACTGAGAAGTGAGGCCATTCAGCCCACTGCTGTTCCCAAGCTGCTCAGACCTTCCTTTGACAGGACACTGCCATGTCAGTCTCACATTCTCTGCCCCTCCAAGCACCCCAAGCTAGAAAGCAAGCACCATGAGTGCAGACATTGGGTTGGGTTGGGTTGAGTTGAGTTGAGTTGGGTTGGGTTGGGTTGGGTTGGGTTGGGTTGGGTTGAGTTGGGTTGAGATGGGTTGGACTGAGTTGAGTTGAGTTGGGTTGGGCTAGGTTGGGTTTTGTTCACCACTGTTTCCTAGTGCCCAGAATCAACACTTAAAGATCACCCAATTGAGGATCACATTTGTCTCTTTCCTAGCACTGTAGGGATTCCTCTTTTTTCTTCTTTTCTATAAATGTACAGAAAGACCTTACGTGACCACCCATTTCCTAGGAAGAGCAGAGATTTGCAGATGACATTACTAGTGCATGCCTAATCACCTGTGCAGGCTGCAAGGCACTCTGACCAGATCCCCAGAAAAAAACTTCAACATTCTCTACTGGCAGCAAGTTTCACAAGTTGGGAGCATCTTGTTTACACAGATTTTTAAAAAAAGCAAAATATTACCTGGATGATCAATGATCTGGAGTCCCTTAAGGGGCCACCTGCTGTTTTAGATAACGGTTTTCCTTTTATTTTACATTCTCTTGAAAATATTTTCAAGGTGTCTTCAAATTCCGCAAAATCTAAATACTATAAAAAAGAACATCAATGTATACATAGCTGTATGTTTCGACATCAACAAAGTAACTGCACAAGCTCAATATTATAATCACTTTATAAAGGGAGAGGTAATTGGGCACCCAAATCCATGATTTACTTATCAATATTCATACTAAAAGCCTAGAAAGACGGAATCAAAGAAATATTTCCAGAAAAGAAATTGCTTTCAGAAGGAAAAGGTGAGCGGTCTGCCTGCTTCATTAGAATAGCAGAACATTAACTGTGTGCGGTGATCTGAACAAGGCAAGCGGTCAGCAGAAGGCCTGAGGACTCTGGGCCTAGCAGGTCTCTGGGAATTTGCTCCTTGTCATGGAGGGACTAGAAATAACGCTTGTTCCTACAAACAGAAGCTAAAGACGGGCATGTCACCAGCGACCTCCAAGCACAGCACTAGGCTCAGCCGCATCTTGAAAAGAGCCCTGCCTGGGGTTCTAGAACCCCTGCTCCATGGCTGCTCTTCACACAGCTGCAGGCTCCTTCTCAGGCTGCCCCACCATTCTCTCCCCCCTCCCCCCACCAGGCCATTTCCCCTGGTCCAGGGCACCGCCCCCTGCTGTGACAACTAACAAACCACAGAGCTGCAGCTCCAGGGTGTGTGCCCACCCCGGCCCCTGTGCCATGTGTCTCGCTGCCCAGTGATCACTTGAGTCACACAGGAAAAGGAGCAACTGCTTCATGAGCACCAGGAACGTGCAGGCCCCAAGACCAAAAGGCACAAGATGTGGGTGCCAGCCTTTTAGAGCTTTCAGTACGGGAAGCCGATATGTCCAGTGAGAGGCAAGAAATGAGTCAGGACACAGCCACGCGGTGAGATGCCAGCAGCACTGAAAAGTACGAGGCAGAGCACATGTGTCGCCGCATGGTTACTGCTGACAGGTGACAGGCGCCACACAACAGCACTGTCACCCCACTTTGGGAAACACACTACGGACATGTGAATATATTATGAATATTCGTAGAAAAAGGTCTGGAAAGACCACACACGAAACCATTCATGGTGGTCACTCCGCGAGCCAGGACGTTCGCTTTTTATGTGTGATGCTTTTATGAGAGTCTTTAGAAGATTTTTCAAAAGTAGTTTTAAGATTTTCGTTTAGTGATGAAAACAAAATATAAACACATGGAAAATGATACAATGGAAACAGAGAACTCTAATGTAAGGATACAGAAAACAGCCTAAGGGACCACACAGCCTGTTGCATTGTGAAACGCCCACTTCCCACACTTCCGAGGTCTCTCTCTCTGCGGCCTCTTGTGTGTACACCTACCTCCTTCACTAGCCCAAGCAATTCCGATTCATGAGCCAGAATATCTCCCATATCGAACCGTCGCTGTTAATTCTCACAGCAAAAATCTCTACAAGGCAAAAATAATAAGATAAAAGCTTTCATTTCAACTATCATGAAGGGTCTGTCTGTGGGGACAGAACAGTTACCCTCCAAGATGGCCACGTCCTGAGCCCCACGCCTTGGATATGTCAGACTGTGCCAGGGGGGGTTAAGGACGCTAATCTTGCTGAATTCAAAATGGGAGATTATCCTGGATTATTTTGTGGGCCCAACGTGATCACAAGCGTTCAAGGGAAGAGCACAGCAAGAAGGCAGGGGTCAGAGGGTTGCTGTGTAAGCCTCCACAGGCCCCTGTGGCCTTGAAGACGAAGGGCTGGTCAGAAGCGGAGGACCAGGCATCAGGGAAGGAAGAAATTCTCCTCTGGGGCATCCAGAAAGGAACAAATCCTGCCAACGCCCTGATTTTGGTCCAGTGAAAGGAATCTCATCCCCTCACCTGCAGAGCACTGAGACAGTACATCTGCGCTGCTGAGTCTACGCTCACTGATTACAGCAGTGCCGGGAAATACAGGGGCCAACGTCAAAAGTAATTTGTTCTTCCAGGACAACTACAGCAGGACGGTCACGCAGACAGGACGAGAGGACGGTGAAAACGAGATAGTCAAGGACCGCTGGTGAAAGTGTGGGAGATAAGTTTTCTTATTTGGGGTTTCCTAAAGTACCACGATGATGAATAATTCACATAAGCAAGTTGACAATGTACATTTAAACAAAGTGGAGTAATGAGCTGGTTAATTCCGTTGATTTCTTTTTTTAAAAGATTTATTTATTTATGCATAGAAGAATTGGGGTGTAGGCCAGAGGTACGAGAGGTTGAGAGGATTCACCAGAGACAGAGTGGGAAGCAGAACAGGTGGATCTACTGAAATACACTGCTGAGGGGAGCAGCAGGAAAGACAAGGGAGGTCTGCTGTACCATATGTGGGCTAGCCCTCTGGTCCAGGATCAGTCAGGCCATTGGGGTGACAGCGCTGACTCAACCCCGCACCACCAGAGGAGGGCCTAATTCAGCTACTTTAAGGAAGGATACACATTAGAATGAATCTGATGTAAACAGACAAAATCACCAGTCTCTCATTCTGCCTCTAAGTAAGAAATATTAAAAATTCACAAAAAGGGGGGCCTCCCTGGTGGAGCAGGGGTTAAAAGTCTCAGCATTATGAAGCTATCGCCAGCCACAGCAGCGTGAGTTCAATCCCGGCCAAGGAGCTGACCCACATATGGCACAGCAGACCTCTGCTGTCTCGCTCACTGCTGCCCTTAGCAAGGTATTTCAGTAGATCCACCTGATCTGCTCCCCAATCAGTCTCAGATGAATCCTCTCACCACCCAGCCCCCACACCTCTGGCCTACACCTCAGTTCTTGTACGTATAAAATAAATCTTAAAAAGAAAAATCCAGGGTCTCCCTGGTGGCATAAGGGGTTAAGACACAGCCTATGAAGCTATCTGCAGCCACCACAGCACGAGTTTGAGCCCTGGCCAAGGAGCTGCCCAAATGGCGCGGTAGACCTCTCCTGTCTCCCCGCTGCTCCCCTCAGCAGTGTATTTCAGTCCGTCTGCTTGTTCTGCTCCCCGCTGTCTCTGGTGAATTCTCTCACTCTCCTGCGCCTCTGGCCTGTACCCCAGCTCTTGTATAAAAATAAATAAATCTTTGAAAAAATTAAAAAAAAAAAAGGCCAACATCGGGCTTCCCTGGTGGTGCAAGGGATTAAGCACAGCACTGTTAAACCATCCGCAGCCACTGCAGCAGAGTTCGATGCAGAGTTCTGTCTCTGGTGGGTCCTCTCATCCCTCCCTCCCACCACCTCTGACTGTGCCCCAGCTCTTGTACGCATAAATAAATAAATCTTAAAAAAAAAATGGCCAACATCTTCTTTACATTTCCAAAATGTTTAAATGAAACACTGCAAAACTCATAAACCTGTTTTTCTTTTAAGTACTTCTTTCTACTCTTCCCGCGGCCCCCCACCCCCACCCCCAAACACACCCCAGAGGTCGCAGAAGCAGCCATTCTCTGGGCCACTCCCCAGCTCTGACCCCACAGGAATTTAAAGACTAATATGCCATACATGGACCCCTGACCTGGGCCAAATCACTGCAACTCTTCTCACCAGTTTATCAGATTTCTTCCAATTCTAAGAATCCCAGAATCCGGCACTTGACATTTTGTCCACTCATCACAGTGCACTTGATCTGAATTATGTGAACACTGGTCAGGAAGACTGAACGCAGTAGTCTCTCCCTGCTCCAAACCTATGCCGCCCACGTCTAAGGCGCTGGGGGTGTTGGAGGAGCAGCGAGGACCCCGCGGCCCGCCAGCTCCAGGCTCGCCAGGTCTGCAGGGAGCCACGAGAGAGACGGCGACCGTCTCAGGACCGCTCAGGGCGGCTCCAGGCCACTCAGGCCCCGGCTCCACCTCGCGCAGAAACTGGGGGAGACTCTCCAGTTTCCTGCGAGTTGCAGCGGCCTCTTCTTAAGGTCTATGAAAGGAGTTTGGGGCCTACAAGCTGCATAGTAAAGGGGAAACATGGGGGCCGTCCGGAGGAGGACAGTGTTCCGCAGGCGTCCGGGGCGTGCTGAGGTGACACGAAGTCCGGCCCGCGGCGCCCGCGAGAAGGGCGAGGGGCGGGGAGAAGCCCGGGACGGGTCCACACGCCCCCGGCCGTTCGCTGGAGCCGCCATTACCCAACTGGACGACGCGGGACCCTCCAAGTTTGGCCCGAAGAGGCCAAGACGAGGGGCTGCCTGCGGGGTGACCTTGGGATGTCCTTAACGGAAGTCGGAGTTAGGGGCCTGGGTCGCCGGCGAGAGGCGGGGGCACCCGGCGCCGCGCTGGCGCCCCCGGACTGTCCTCCCGGCGCACGCTCAGCAGCGTCGGCGGCGGCCCCCGCGGCTCCTCGCGCCCGGGGACGCGAGCTCGGGGGTCCCGATCGCCTCAGGGGCGCAGTCGCGGCGGCGGGAGACGCCTTACCTGCAGCGCCGCCGCGGGCAACCGCGCCTGGCCGGCCGACCGCCGCCGCTCCCGTCGTCACCCCGGCAACCGCCGCCGCCAGCCGCGTCACGTGGGGCGGCGCAGCCAATCAGCGGGCGCGGCGGGCGCGGGGCATCCCGGGAGGAAAGGCCGCCCGCCTGCTGGCGGAAGTGAAGTGCGGGCGCGGAGCCGGCCCCCCGGGGTACCCCGCGGTCCCCCGAGCTCCCAGCGCCTTCCCGCCAGCCTTGCGCCGGGCCCGCCGGCCCGGGGGGCGAGTTCGTTTCCTCACCGGGAAACAAAACCCGCTTCGAGGTGACAGGGCCGTGCGGTTGGAACAGGGGCGCTGTTACCCCGTTCACGGGCGCGCCCCCCGCAAATAAAAGCGTCGCCCGAGATCCGTTTCAAAGCGCCAGACTCCGGGGCTCCACCTCACAGCAGCGGCTTCCAGGGATTTTCGAGAACCCGTCCCTCCGCCTGCGTGAATGTTGGGTTTCTCGAAATAAAACGGGAGCGTGTGACGCTCAGGTCCAAACCGAGCGAGTGGTTTCCTGCCCTCTCTGCGCCCAAGTGACTTAACTCCTCAGAGACAAAACCCGCACCAGGAACAGGCTGGTTTTACTGGGACTGTTGCAACAGGGCGCGCGCTGCAGACGATACAACTACATGTGCATCGCCTCACTCGGTTCTGAGGTGACCTTCACCGCCCTGGACGCGGGGTTACAGGTGGGGAAAAGGCCCCCCTTCCAGCCGGTGAGGTTCTGAGAGAGTGTTAGAGGGCAGCCCCGATATTGAACGGGTTCCTGGCTGTGGGTCCTCACCCGCGCTTACAAGGGACTTATGAATACTCCACTACAGGCACACACAGAAGGTTCATAAAAGGTTTATTTACAAGGGAAAAGTTAATAAGGAAAATGTACAACTCAGGGAGAAAATAGGGAAATAAAGTCTTTCATGCGTCCTACCCGATCCGCCGACCTGGAAACCCAAAGGCACTCTCAGAGCTGGCCAGACGCTGCGAGCTGGCGGGGAGTCAAAATGGGGGACCCCCCAAAACCAACGTGTCTGGCTTTATCCCCACCGGGCTGCTTAACCCCACCCTCAGGTCCCAGCCACCTTCCCTTGGGTGGTGATGGGATGTGGAGTTCCCAGTGTCTGTGGCTTTGGCCTGGGGTGGGGGTGGAGTCCACAAAGCCTGTATGGAATTAGCTTTAGGACAGCCTCTCCCCCTAACAAAAGGGCTGGAGAACACAGGTGAACTTGTCTTTGCAGAAGCCCTGGGTGGTGTCTGTGGTCACCATCTGCCCCGCCCCCAGCTGTGCCCGTGCTCTTGTGAGATCAGAGATGGTCTTCAAAGAAAAGCGCTGTTTAGCAGGAAGAGACATCATTTACCCCCGTATATTAAGTGGGGGTAAATCTCCCCACTTAATATACTAACGCTTGTCAACTTACTGTGTGCCAAATGTTACCAGGCAAAATACAGGGTGCTTGGTTAAATTGGAACTTCAGGTGAATTTTTCATATACGTATATTCTACAGATCATCTTATCTACTGTTTACACGGGAGGTTAAATTGTCCTGCATTTTTGTTTGCTAAGTAGGGCAACCCTGTGTGTGCCCAGCATTGTGCTACTTACATAGGTTATTCACACCTTTATAAGATGGATATTTTCAGCCTTTTACAGATGAACAATGTACATTACCTGAGGTAATGCACATGTTGGTGTATAATCTGGAGAGCACTCCCTATTGCGATAGTCCCCATAAAATCGTCTGTTACTTGTCCAGGTTTTGTCTTTGATAAGCTAAATAACTTGAGCCACAGAGAGGTTAACAACTTAAAGGTCACACAGCTGGGGAGCTGTGGAACGAGCACTGAACCCAGGTCCTTGTGCCTGTGAACTCTGGGCTCTTACCTACAATAATCATTCCTGCTTTGCTTTCCCTTCAAGCGCGTTGCCTGACTGCCAGGATTACGGCCATCGTGGTGGGTATTATTTTTATCCACCTAGCATCCCTCTTCCATCTGATAATATACCCAGCCCAGACTGGACTCAACTCCCTCCATCCTTCTGGCCACAGTGATTGGTAGCAGGGTGAAAGCAGACATGAGGAGTAGGAGCTCAGGGAAGGGCCCTTCTAGGGGCCCATGCACCTTCTTTGCTTTCTTCACCCTGATGCCTGGGATGCAGGTGGGTTGTGTGAGGCACAGACACCACAGGGGACCTTAAGGTGACCTTGGGAAAGGCACCCATGCCTGCTAGTTGTGTCTGTTTGCTGGGGCCACCACAACAAATTATCACAAACTGGGTCACCCCCACAGCCTGGGGGAAATGCTACAGGCCACACCCTGTGGGCCACACAGACCAGCTGACCTGGGGGTACAAGCCGCGGCCCTGCGTCAGAACTGGAGGCATGATGCTGGTAGCCTGACCCTGCCTGGCACATCTGTCCTTGTCTAATTGATGTGAGGTCCCGGAGGTTGTCCAGCAAAGGTCCACAGGCTCAGTCCAGTGCCCCGGCGGGGCCTCTCCTCTTCCAGTGCTTTTCGGGGGGCGGGGGAGGGGGGTGGGCTGTGCAGTCCATCCATGAGCTCCTCCGCCAATGCAGGGAAGGTGGGAAGGCTGCACTCTAGGTCAGGCAAGGCAAGGCCAGGCGGACGGCGTGCCTGCTGGAGCCAGCAAAGCAGGCAGGTCACTTCCCAGGGTCAGGGGTGCATGTGGCTGCCCCTGCTGATTCTCTGAGGCTCTGGGCTCCTTGGGATGCTAACCACCGTACCCCGGGAAAGAGAGCAGAAGCATCTTGCAAAGGGAGTTTGACAAACCACAGTTCCCAGTTTCTCTGGGACTCAGGGCCGCATCCTCTGCAGGTGCCCCACTGGCTCCTGGGAGCCAGGCCGCTGTGACACACAGCAGGACTGAGCAGGGAGGCATGGGACAAACTGGGGTGAATCTTGCCCTGCCTTGCACCTCCATTTCCTCTCAACCTGCCTGTGAATGTCCCTCCCGGGAGAAACCACCCAAAGGCTGGGAAATTAACATTTTCGGTTCCAGAACACCTGTGAAAGAGGGGCAGGGTCGCTCCCCATCAGCCTTCTCCCCGGAGCCACAGGAAGTGCCAAAGGGCTCTAGGAAGTGACCCTCCAGACAGCAGTGCTGCTGGCTGACCCACCGCTGCACCCAGGTCCCCTGGGTGGTAGTATGCTAGGGCTGCCCTGCCCCCAAAGTGTCCAGGACCCGGTCTGACCCCAACCCTCTCACCCCCGCATTGAAGCTGTCCAGGCCTTTGTAAGGCCAGGTCTCAGGCAAGTCGGCTGTGACCACACGACCACATGGGAAAAGCCTTTGGCCAGCTCTGCTAGCTGCTCCACACCCAGGACACAGGTCTAAGGAAGGAGTCAAGACTAAGAACAGATGCCCTCCCGACTGGCCGTCTCGGGCCTCGGGCCGATGGTCTGCCCTGACTCACATTTTCTAGATCCATCTGGACGTCTCGGGCCTCAGGCCGATGTCTGCCCTGACTCACATTTTCTAGATCCATCTGCCCGTGGAAGTGTGTGGACCTGTCTGAAGAGAAATAACAGGAGTTGTGGACAGGCAATGTCCCTGGCTCACATTTGAAAGGCTGACTGGCTCCAGGGGGTGCAGTGGAGCCCACACTCTGGGAGGAGCCCCCGCCCTCTGACACCCCCACGCTCTGCTCTGGGCAGCTGAGAGAGCTGCAGGCACCAGCTGGGAGCCCATTTGTTTTCTCTGGCTGCTGAGCTCTCACATGACCTTGTAGGGTTGAGGCCTGGACAGCACGTGGGGGCCAGGTCTGCTGGGGGGAGGAGGAGGTGGGTCCCACTGATTGACTTACCCTCGGGCGCTTTTCCATGTTGCCCATTAGATTCAGCTTCACCAGCCAGAGCTGACTTTGTGTTGAACCAGTGGCTCAAGGATGTTGGCCTGAGCGCAGATCACGGGTCCCTTTTTGGGGTGGATCAGGACCGCTATAGACTTCGAAGCACGACAAAGATGATGGCGCCTCCACCCACCCATCTCCTTGCCTCCATTAAAAAGATACACTTCTAAGCTATAAGATAAATATATGCAAGGATGTCTAACAACTTCTTCATTTTCCCCATAAAGCCTATTTCAATTACAAATATATGTTGATCAAATTATTTTAAGAAAAATGAAATCATTTAGTCCTGGGCCTCTGCTTTGCTGGCTCCAGCAGGCACGCCGTTCGCCTGGCCTTGCCTGACCTAGAGTGCAGCCTTCCCACCTTCCCTGCATTGGCCGAGGAGCTGATGGATGGACTGCGCAGCCCCCCCTCCCCGCTCCCCCGAAAAGCACTGGAAGAGGAGAGGCCCTGCCGGGGCACTGGGCTGAGCCTGGGAAAGGAGCGCCCGCCTGACGCCTGCCCACACTCTGCCTGGGGGTTATCAGTGTTTTCTGATTTCCCTGGGTCACCCTCTGACGGGGGGCTAGGGTGGGTCACTTCCCAGGGTCAGGGGTACATGGTGGCTGCCCCTGTTGATTCTCTGAGGCTCTGGGCTTCTTGGGATGCCAACCACCGGACCCCGGGAAAGAGAGCAGAAGCATCTTGCAAAGGGAGTTCGACAAACCCAAAATCCTTTTTGATGGAGAACAGCCATTGCCTTGTGAGTTGGGAAAGTCTGGAATGAGGAAACCAGCAGGCCAGTGCCAGGTGTCATGTGTAGGACGGAGACATGTCCCGAAGGCCACAGGACAGCATCTGCCCATGGGGCCACTCCTTTGGCAAACACATCTGTCTCCAGGTGTGCACCCCTCTGTGGGGAGTCAGGTCCTGCCTCTGGAGGGCTTGGGCTGGCGGTGATGCTGTTGTAGACATGCCG